AAAAATAAGTAAAAGCAGTGTTCTTTCCTTTTTTGAAGGTTATCAGATTATTGCAAAACAATTAAACAGAGTCAGGAAAAGATATAGACATGACTAAGGAAATATAGTAGATATCCTCCTGGAAAGCTAACTCTCTTTGTTCTTCTGTATAGCAACAAATAACCTCAGGTTTGAGCTATAGTGACTTGGTAGCTTAAACAGTATTATAGAAAACTGCTTTTACTTATTTTTAGTTTACTTTATCCAGTTGCATTTTCCTTCCTCCCCCCCCTCCCCCGCCCCCAGACCTTAAAAGAATTGGAGCAGGGAAATATAAAAACAATTGCTGCAATCTAACTTGCCTCCAGAAGTTGTGAATGCTCCAACACTGGATGTTTTTAAGAAGATATTGGATAACCATTTGTCTGAAATGGTGTAGGGTTTCCTGCAAAAGCAGGGTGTTGGACTAGAAGACCTCCAAGGTCCCTTCCAACTCTGTTATTATTCTAATGTAAACAAATGAGGCTCTTGACCCTTACTTGCTGTTTTATTAGTATAATTCTGGAACATGAATAAAATCCTCAGTTATTCTCATTAGGGAGCAAAATCCCATCAGGAACAAACCAAAGCAGAAAATACCTTATTCCTCAGATCATTTATGAATCTGGAAGCTGATTTCATAATTCAAATGTCATTGCATAATTCAAATTTGAAGTGTAACTTATTGAATAAACCGGGAGCCCCAGTATAATGATTTCTCCTTGAGAACTTCCTGATCTTTCTTCTGAAAAGGAAGCTGGTATTCTGAAGAATTCCGGCTTTGCATTCTGACTGAATAAGGCTTTCGAGAATTATTAACCACAAATTTGTCTGATGAATAAGGGGAACACTGCAGAAAATTCAGAACAGTTAGCAAAGATTAGCTAATTTGGGGGGAGGGGGGTACAATTCTTCATCTCAGCAAAGAAATCACTCCTGTATTTAGAGTGTTTATTTTCACACAGCAGTGAACGTTGCGGACTTACTATATGGAGGTCAAAACAGTGTAATATTAAAATTAGAACTTGGCACCAACCTGGATTTGAAGGACCCATGGCAAGGTGGAGCACAGGTGTGCCCTCATGTAGCACCTCTTTAAATCATATGTAGTATTCCTTGTCTTGGGATTGAATGGCAGTGGTCAAGCAAACACAGGAACTCTGCAACAATTGTTGACAGTAGTTATGTGAGTGGTTCTGTGCATTTTGAACCACCTTTTCCCCTTTGAATCCTGATTGCTGCACAGTCCTAATTAAAATTTAGAGCAAACTCTTTCTCTAAATATGATTTTACAGCTTGCTCTATGAGGTGGTTTTATAATCTGCCAGCAACAACCATAAAATGTATCTTTTTAATGCATCTGAAGTTAGCATTGAAAAGATTGCTATGAACCATGCGCCTCTCTTTTTCCAAAGGTACCTCTCTCAAAAGGCAAACGCTGTGTGGTGCTGGCTGATGGCTACTATGAATGGCGACAACATAATGGACAAAAGCAGCCATATTTCATTTACTTTGGCCAAACTGAGCAGGAAATGGTATAACATTATTGCAATCGTTATATTTCATGCTGATGTTTCATTGATATTTTTTAAAGCTATTCCCATAAAAGAGTATTGTTACTACTATTAATATGAGATTTGTCAGATAGAAATGGATGGAACTGTGCCTTTACATTTTTCTTCTTTTTTGTCATAGCTGCTGCAACTCAGGTTGAAGATGGTCATTTATTAAAAACTTGATTAAAAACTGTTGAGTTGAGGAAATGTGGTGTTCCTAAGTATACATTCTACTTCTTGAAACACTTGTTTGAGTCCCTGGGCATTTAACGATCCCAGATGTATCATTGGTAAACTCTTCAATAACCTCGCCCTTATACACAGATCAACTTGACATTTCCAGGACAGTTTAGAATAATGAATAAAATGTATTGCTAAAAACATCATAGCATGAATAAAAGTACATGGTGTGAGAAACATTTGGAAGGACAAACAGGGCTTTTTGCCTAGCCTTTAAAAGAAAGTAACAGAGGCACAAAGCAAAATTGCCTGAGGAATGGGGGTAATACAACTAAAATGGAGCTGTGGTGGCGCAGTAGTTAGAATGCAGTATTGCAGAATAACTCTGCCTGCTGCCACGAGTTCGATCCTGACCAGCTCAAGGTTGATTCAGCTTCCCATTCTTCTGAGGTCGGTAAAATGAAGATCCAGATTGTTGGGGGCAATATGCTGACTCTGTTAACTGCTTAGAAAGGGGCTTTAAAGCCC